GATGAATCTGCTAGTTGCTGACCATGAATCGCGCGAGAACAATAGTCAGATTATCATATTATGATCTTTGCGAGCTTTCATCTCCATAAATTATCATGAAAAAGTTCTGAAGAAACGATTGTTGTGGATTGCTACTCAAACTAGATGGCGTTCTTCAGCGCACCGCACTTTGTTTCAGTATTTTTAGAATACTAGGCGTTGGAGGTTGCACATTGCGCAGTGCACCGTGGCTTCTGTTTCCAAACAAAAGCTGTCAAGACATCAGCTCTGAAGCTCATCGATTCCATAATCTCACCATCGGTTTTCACCATTTCACTAGACTGTCGTGTTCATCAATGGCGAACTTACAACCCTTTCGAAGGTTGTCAGTTTCACAAATCATGAGTACCCAATTTCAAGTAGCCATTAATTAGATTGATTAGTGGAGATTCTCCACAACCGCTTCATCCCATAATGAACCACGGTTTACTCATCCTCGAGAGGTTATTGAGTAACATCATGACATCCACAACAAGCATCTCCTGCACACAACAGCGTACGCTGTAGGTCAATCATCTGTAGTGACGTACCCTTTCAGGTGGCTCCTCACGTCATGAGACCTTTACAGTGAGTTCAAACTCAGGAGCAACGGCAAGATACTCGAAATAGGGCAAGTCCCAGCACTCAACAACAACAACAGTGTAAATTGAGCCAGACAATGATAGTTAAGGTCATGACTTCTCAACGAATCCCGCTTGCAATACCTGATCGAAAACATGTAAAATACTCAAAATGGCTAAACTCGACTGTTGCAAATACAGAGCCGATCGAAGCTTCCCAAGCAAAAGTTTTGGTCCAAAACTCGTCACAATCTGTCGACTTCATCTGTGACCATCGGACTCCTATCCTCACACAGCTGAGGATTGCACGTCCAAGACAGTAGACCGGGTGACAGAGAATGAGCAAATCGAGCCACCGCCCCCAACAGCAATTTGCAAATGATAAACCTCGCATTAACAGTAAGGACCGGTAGCAACTCAAACATCAAATAGAATACACAAGCATAGAGTAACCAGCTTCGCTGGCGAGCGCGTCACAGACCAGTGTTTGCACCACTCTATAGACACACAAGTTTCGTGAAGGTTACCACACAGAGCATATAGAGGGCGAGTGACGGTCAGGGGAACGATGTGAGTTGACCACATTGTAAAGTTATGAAAAGAGCGGACCCGTTTGCCCGAAGGACAGAGAAGACATAAACCTTTGGTTTGATTGTATGGAACGAATTTCCCGAAACCAAGGATAGTAATAGCCGCTTGGTGAGGATCATTCAATTTCCGAAGATACCTCTCCGAAAAATAATCAGTTTTGTCGTTGGAGTGAGCCTCGATCTCAGATTTCTCCACCGTGTCACCCAAAAAAGCAAAGCGCTTTATATCGGATGATGCACCATGTATGATCTCACTATCGTCGTCCATAATACCGATCCGATATCGACCCAAACCCGAGGTATAGGTAAGAGTATCGATGTGATAGAGAGACGAAGGAGAACCTCAGGAAGAGATTCGATAAAGGGTAGGTTCGGGCCCCACACTTGCTCGTGCATACACGTGACACGTGGGCGAGCACAGGCATCCTAATCGCGCTGTACATACATTCTGAAAAGGAAGTGACCAGCCTTTCAGGAATTTAGTGACATACTCTGGGAGATCCACATCTTTGGTGTCAGACTATTGTTGACACCTGAATCATCGCAGGGGAGAATCTAGACCCATATAAGTGTAGTCATAATTGGTACGTGTGTACCAAAGCATTGCAAGTTGTCAAGTTATGGCAACAATGAAGGTGTTCCATACGGTGTACTCGATTCTCTTTCGATCGGCCCTTTCAGGATCATACATGTCTATGTCGCGCTGGGCTATAGCCTCACTGTCTCCAACGGGTGCTTCTGAGCCGGCTATTGTACGGTTGAGGTGGGGAATCATCCCGAAACCTATAATGTTCCCGGGGGAAACTCATTTTGAATTTTCCGCATGGCCAAGAACTCATTCTTCAATCAGTTTCCCATTTAAAATCACACTCGTGGGTCTGGTAGGGTGATTCGGTACGGACCGACCCTAGAAGTATCGACGAGGGAAAGACACTCAGAGACACAGAGTCTGAGTGACACTCAGTGAGTGTGCCGACGACAGTGCGTGTCTGCACCCTTTTCGGTACTTGCTCCCGGGAGTGGTGGGATTGGGTTAAAATACAGACGATCCTTCAACCCGTGACCATGCTATGACATACGGAACTCGGGGAAGATCCGCTCGCCTCACGGTTACATCTCTGCAGTGCGAATCGGTAGCGAAGCGTACCTCGGTATTCAACCTAGGTTAACAAGTTAACCTCTAGTAAATATCATCACATAAGGAGCATGTTCCTCCTTTTTATCGTGCCCTGGGGATGTTCTCTCCCAAAGCTAAACGGGCCCCTGGTTTTCGGGCGATCAGTTGCTAGTTCATAAAGCCCAGCAATAAGCGTTTCGTTGCGTATAGCCACTTTTACGGAAACCACCCTAAACTACTTGAGTTAACTATGTCCTCCCAAAGAAGAGTATAAGCCTAGTTACTCTACCCCATCCGTGTAAGCTGGTTTACTAGTATTCTCCTTCCCTGAAGACAACGAGCGTAGATTTTAGGTGTAGTTTTAGAGTATGTGCCTCAGGAAACATCGTATGTTCCATAGGGTCCTTGTGAACTCCGTGATGACTTCTGGGATGGCTATTTACGATAGAAGGCGAAATTAATTCTGAAATTCGCACTCGCGACACTTCTGAACAAAACCATTCTCGATTCGGAAATAGATGTAATTTTCATTTTGCTCTCGTACAGGTTTAGGAAATCGAAAATCAGCTTCTGGTGAGGTGTCGCAAAAGACTCATTTCGTTTTCGAGGAGTTTCACCCGCTTTGCGTGAAGTGGCGTAATACTCTGTGAAATTTGTGGAATATTTTTTCCGCTAGTGTTTTACGTATCACGGGTGAAACTCCAATCAGTGTGAATATTATATGTATGATCGAGAATAACATAACCTTGCAAGAAATAATCGCCTTCAATGAGGAGATCTCGAAGACGTATCTTGAGGTTGCCCGCGCAACCGACGGGGAAGAAGATACTCTCCTGTGCAACGGCGAACTACTAGTAATAATAACACATCTGAATTGGTAGTAGCAGTCATTGGTCAGATCGCGCCACCTAGGCTCAGCAAATCTTCTTTTCTTCATGCGCTTGCGCTAGAGGGAGGCGTTTTTACTACTATGCGGACTACTTTCAATGGCACTAGGATATTGTCGCTGGATCGGCACGTGAAGAGGCTGGCGGCTGCTTATGAGGATATGAACGATGTAAGTGTGTTTCTTGGAAGGCCTGGGAGCAGGGCAGTGTTGGAATGTATGCTCAGCTGAGTGCAGGAGTTTCTTCACTGTATGTACAAATTCGTCAGAATTTTTATATTGTTACCAACTTATGTGCATATTTTCCCACACTGTTACATATCCGGTGGCGGACTATGATTATGATAATGTATAATTACTATGCTGAGAGTATAAGCCCTTTACAGTAAGATAGGATACGGTATGTATATGCAGGGTGTCTTTAACAAAAGTGGAATTTCGTGGCGCGTGAAAAGTAAAGGATCTTATCGCAAGCCTCTATAGAGTAACCTTCATGGAGTAGTGGCGGCGGTGATCTCATCTCAACCTCTATTATTTTATCGATGTACATACCGCACGCGGCGCTATTCGTCTGATATCGTGTGTGTAGTTGTCTGGATCAGCTTCCCATCTAGCTTTGGGAGATAGCGTTTCCCAGGGTTTGATAGAAATAAGGAGAATGTGATGATGACACTTACATTGGAAACTGATTGAAGAATGTGTTCCTAACCATTAGAAAAGTTTCAAGTTTTTCTGGATTGTTCCTTTAGGTAGCAGAGCTGGACCGACTGGCATCGAAACTAAAGGGGATGTGCCGCCTGGGTATATCCGCGATGAATGGAGAAGCTAAAGTTGAGGATTTTGAGGCGCAAGTGACGGTTGGCATCACATACAAGAGGAAAGACATGTGCCCGCCGGAGAGCAACGTGCGCGGCGCCAGCAGAGGCGCTCGTCGGACTAACTCGATGCTTCGAGGGCTGGAAGCCACAGACACCTCCTGTCTTCCAGCCCACCAGACCCACGCGCCCAGGAGTGGGATATTTAATAAGTGTTAACTAGTTAACACAAGTTAAATACCGATACGGAGGGCGCGTCACACAGTGCGTCTCCGTCACACACGTGCATATCATCCGCGGTGCGTCCTCCACCCTTATCCGGGGTGCGTCGTAAAACGACCTGTGCAGGCGAACGTCGCCGCAGCTTTACAGAACCAGACGGCATATGCCGTGTATAATTTCTTTCAACCCAGCCCGCCACTCCCGGGAGCAAGCATCGGTTGGTCGAGCGTGCGCGGCGTCGCATCGCCGGCATGCGCCCGCCGGAGAGCAACGTGCGCGGCGCCAGCAGAGGCGCTCGTCGGACTAACTCGATGCTTCGAGGGCTGGAAGCCACAGAACTTCTGTCTTCCAGCCCACCAGACCCACGCCCCCAGGAGTGGGATATTTAATCGGAGCGTTAGAATCACTACTTAGTTTATCTGTCCCAAATCCTTCAACATGCGCGCTCGTGTGACATCGCCGCGAGCAACTTCATCACTCAAATATTCATGCTTACCATGAACTCTTGAGAAGCGATCTTTGCTCTAGCCGCTCTGTTAATCTTGCGTGTTCCGGTATACAGCCAACTCCCCCGACGAGAGTTGATGTTCTTGCTTGCCTTGCATTAGCAATGCTAGAATAGCACGCTTACTTCTGAATCAGAAGTTCTGATTCGTTCATAATGTCTTCCATCCTGACGGTTCTACTCGCGTTTTTGCCTTTGTACGAGTCTCTGGATGTCGACACGGCCGGCTTAGCTTTCCTTGGTTTCCAAAAAAAGTGGGACATAACCTATGATGTACTGCGATATACTGATATTCTTCCAAGGTATGGCAAGAGCTACGAGAGTGGGGAAGAGGAGATCAAGAGGGCCGCAATTTTCCAGGATAACCTGGATTACATTCAGAAAGTCAACGCCCAGAGTGCGTGGTTTCTGCTGTTCGCCACGTGACTGGTGCAGAACTGGTTCAGATTTGTCGTACAAATTGGCAGTCAACGAGTTCGCGGATCTCACTTTCGAGGAGTTTGCTGCTGTTAGGCTCAGTTCAATCGAAACGCATGGGGAGATGGAGAGAGATGGATTTGTTGATGAGTGTGAGGCATGATTTCCTTGGTGTCAAATGAAAGCCCCACGTGCTAGCTGGAACTGACCCTACTCTCCCGTCCTCGGTTGATTGGAGAGACAAGAATGTACTCACTCCGGTCAAGGATCAAGGAAATTGTGGCAGCTGTTGGGCATTTGCTGTGACCGGTAGCATTCTACTGGACCAGCTCAAGAAACCCTAGCTTTTGTGTTATTCAGGTGCTCTCGAAGCGAAGCATGCTATCGCTACTGGTGAACTGTTGTCCTTTTCCGAACAACAGCTCGTGGATTGCAGCCGGTCATATGGGAATCAGTAAGTGTACTGAGACCGCTGGGCCACCTACGGTTCACTTGTACTTCTCATCTTAGTGGTTGCCAAGGAGGATTACCCCGCTTCGCCTATAACTACATAAGAGACCATGGAATCGACCAAGAGTCGACCTATCCTTACAATATCTGGAGCGAGTCTTGCAATCAGTCGCTCGAGAAAAGAGCCGACGGACTCCCAGTAAGAATAGACGTACTCTAAGAGTACCACTCTTGCTGTATTTTCATACGTAATATTGGCCCACACTTCTGAGTGATTACTCCTTCATATTCCGTCTCGCTTATCCTGAGCATCCTCCGTAATGTCTCCGCTCTGCACAGGTCGGAGAAGTAACTGGCTACAAATACCTACCCCAAACGGACAAGGCACTGATGGGAGCGCTGGTGGCTGCTCCTGTTTCTCTGGGCATGGTTGCGGAATCATCTCTTCAATTCTATCATTCCGGAGTATACTCATCCCGTAAGATATGCAATCGATGCTGATGCGGATGAAGCATCGTGCTTCTCAGCCATGTGTCATGGTCAACTGAATCATGGCGTTGTGGCTGTTGGTTATGGAGCTGATGAAGGACAAGAGTAAGAGCTGACATTTCCAATTTTTCTGTCAGATGCGATTGACTTTATCACTCGGTGCGAGAGCCTCGGTTGCTAACAGCGTGGTATATCTAATAGATTTGGATACTCGCCGCTCAGTTACTACATCATTAGAAACTCCTGGGGTCGTTCTTGGGGTCAAGACGGTTACTTTATTTGCTGCGGGGAGGCGGTGGTTATGGTGAGCATTGACGTCCATGATGGCATCAGCAATGTAATCACTCCTAGGTGAATGCGACATACTCAAACAAATGTCTGTTGCGACAATGAAGTCCAGATGAATCTGCTAGTTGCTGACGATGAATCGCGCGAGAACAAAAGTCAGATTATCATATTATGATCTTTGCGAGCTTTCATCTCCATAAATTATCATGAAAAAGTTCTGAAGAAACGATTGTTGTGGATTGCTACTCAAACTAGATGGCGTTCTTCAGCGCACCGCACTTTGTTTCAGTATTTTTAGAATACTAGGCGTTGGAGGTTGCACATTGCGCAGTGCACCGTGGCTTCTGTTTCCAAACAAAAGCTGTCAACACATAAGCTCTGAAGCTCATCGATTCCATAATCTCACCATCGGTTTTCACCATTTCACTAGACTGTCGTGTTCATCAATGGCGAACTTACAACCCTTTCGAAGGTTGTCAGTTTCACAAATCATGAGAACCCAATTTCAAGTAGCCATTAATTAGATTGATTAGTGGAGATTCTCCACAACCGCTTCATCCCGTAATGAACCACGGTTTACTCATCCTCGAGAGGTTATTGAGTAACATCATGACATCCACAACAAGCATCTCCTACACACAACAGCGTACGCTGTAGGTCAATCATCTGTAGTGACATATCCTTTCAGGTGGCTCCTCACGTCATGAGACCTTTACAGTGAGTTCAAACTCAGGAACAACGGCAAGATACTGAGTATCTCGCCGTTGTATCCGAAATAGCCGAAATATCCCTATTTCGAGTATCTGATACTCGAAATAGGGCAAGTCCCAGCACTCAGCAACAACAGTGTAAATTGAGCCAGACAATGATAGTTAAGGTCATGACTTCTCAACGAATCCCACTTGCAATACCTGATCGAAAAGATGTAAAATACTCAAAATGACCAAACCCGACTGTTGCAAACACACAGCCGATCGAAGCCTCCCAAGCAAAAGCTTTGGTCCAAAACTCGTCACAATCTGTCGACTTCATCTGTGACCATCGAACTCCTATCCTCACACAGCGTCGCTGTACATACATTCTGAGAAAGCCAGCCTTTCAGGAATTTAGTGGCATACTCTGGGAGATCCACATCTTTGGTGTCAGATTATTGTTGACACCTGAATCATCGTAGGGGAGAATCTAGAACCATATACGTGTGGGCACTGCATCAAATCTAAGCGATATGCATAAAAACCAAAGAATATCAGCGCGCCATTGATGGAAAGTAAAGGTTGACATACAGGTGATGACCGTAACGCGAGTAGGAATCTAAACTGCAAATTCCAAAGAAAACAAGAACTGCAGGTGAAAGCGGAGAAAGGGAAACCCGAAACCCCACCCGAAACCCGACGGAAAACCAGAAACCCGAACTGTTATCCAAGGCCAGGCTGCAATCCAGGGTTAATTCGAAATGCAGGTGAGAGCGTGCGCTAAACTTCTTTAGAAAAGAGGCCTATTCTTTAGAAATAAGATTTCCCCATATACATGTAGTCATAATTGGTACGTGTGTACCAAAGCATCGCAAGTTCTCAGGTTATGGCAACAATGGAGGTGTTCCATACGGTGTACTTGTTTCTTTCTCGATCGGGCCTTTCGGGATCATACATGTCTATGTCGCGCTGGGCTATAGCCTCACTGTCTCCAACGGGTGCTTCTGAGCCGGCTATTGTACGGTTGAGGTGGGGAATCATCCAGAAACCTATAATGTTTCCGGGGGAAACTCATTTTGAATTTTCCGCATGGCCAAGAACACATTCTTCAATCAGTTTCCCATTTAAATATTCCACTCGTGGGTCTGGTACGGTGATTCGGTACGAGCTAGGTATGAGCATCGGGGGTTCTTGGCGCCCCCGACCCGCCACGTATATAACTGAGGTGTGTTGCGGGAATCCCGCACCCACGCATGTTCCCGCTAAGAGTCACCGGGGCGCACCCGTGCCGGGATTCCCGGATCTGGCGCGCTACGCTTATAATAAGCGGCTTATTCATGGTATTCCGCTTGGGGCTCAGAGCCTCAACTTGAGGCTCTCAAAACCAAGTTTTGAAAACTCTGAAGTCCAGTCTGCATTGTTCAGAGGTAAGACGCTTATCGTACGAGACGCGCTACAAATTGTAGCGCACGCCTATATAACGGAATCACCCTTAAGCATGGACTGCTCAGGTTGCGTTGCTCACACGCGAAATAGAGAATTCAGAGAATCACCGTCCACAGTGACTTCCCCCTGCTCCTTCCGATTATAATATCGTGATATCGCTTCTCCGATGCTCGACCCTTGACTCAAGGGCCTTGAGCTTGGGGCCCCGCGGTGTTCGACTTCTAGCTTCTCTACGAATCGTAGACTACGATGCTTCTCACTGTGAGACATCAATGAGAATGAATAATCCTATCCAGTCATGGAAGTATCATACTTCCATAGGCATGTAGAATGAGGCATTCCATGCCGCATGGTACAACCTCACGGAACTGTGAGCGATATACCTATAACGGTGAGGAATTGGGCGAGCGCATATTTTCGTGGCGATCAGTCACGTGCTCCTGATCAGCATGGATTTCAACTTAGAATTTTCAAGTAGTCCGGAACACGGACTGCGGGGACCCGGAATGCGGGAACCCGGTTCCCCGGCCGGGAAATCCGGGGAGGTTTCTCGCCGGGTCGGCAAATACACGGAAAAGGGGCCGTGAGGCGGGAAAATCAAATTTTTGCGCGGCCCGGGCCGCTAACGGCCCGGGCCCGCTAGGGAAATGCGGGTAGGCTGACGTCGTCTCAGCTCCGCCTTCGCTGAAGCTGGGGCCAAGGCGATCAACTTGTTGAGGATCATCTGGTCGAGGGAAGCGTTAGAGAGCTTCTTATCATCAGTTAACTTCTTATTGTATTCGGTCAACATACGTCGAGCACGTGCCAAGAACGTACCGACGTTAGTACCAGGAGCCCACCGAAGATCATGAAAGTTGTCCAAGAGAGCATCCGCTGGACGACGAGCCAGCATCTGCAGCATGATCCGACCGTCCTCCTCGAAGGTCTGCTTAGGGGCGTACTGATCCCACATCTCGTAGAACTCATCGGTAAGGTACATTCCTAAGCGAGAAGCCTTCGTAGCCGAAGTCCAACCGGCAGCATTAGCAGTGTTCTCATAGCGTCTCAACCATGCGGCAAAGTCGGTGGTACCATTGTATCGTTCAGGCATTTGCAGGTTGACACGAAGTTCCTCCTTGTGGCCACGGTCGATAACTGGAGCCTGAGGGCGTACAGAACCAGCCTCAGCCCGAGTTGACAAGGCGTCAAAGAGGTCGTTGTAATCTCTGGCATGGTCAATGGCCAACCGTATGTGGTACTGAGTAGCATCGTCGTCCATACCAGCAGCAGTAGCATCTGCTCTGGCTTGCTCTTCAATCAGCGACAGATCCTTCTTCTGAATGCCAAGATCGTTACCAGGTGTCGACATTGGGAACCAAGCACGTAGAGGAAGGTCTTAACCACTGATAAGGGATAACCAAGCTTAAGGAGAACGAAGTTGTAGTAATAGCAACAAGGAGCTGCTACCAGAAATGTAGTCCGTCGAGAGGAGAACTACAGTGACCAAGATCGTTCTGCTATTACTAGTGAACTCGACAGTACGTTAGTCCGAAAGTCGACTAAGTACAGTACACCAAAGCTCGTAAGCAAGGTAATTCCGTATGGTTCCACAAAGCGTGACGCCCCCTTGGTGGTGTGACGCACCAATCGATTACGCTACAGGGCGAACGAGATTAGAACTGCATCCTAAGTCTAAGGGAATGTCAAGCGATCAAGTCAGCAAGTTACAAGGTCTACACAAGTTAACCTCTAGTAAATATCATCACGTAAGGAGCATGTTCCTCCTTTTCATCAAAGCCTGGGGATATTCTCTCTCAAAGCTAAACGGGCCCCCGGTTTTCGGGCGGTCAGTTGCTAGTTCATAAAGCCCGGCAATAAGCGTTTCGTCGCGTATAGCCACTCTTACGGAATAGTAAATATAATGGAAGTTCCTGAGGTCGTCGTCGGCACCTTGTGGAAGAACAACATGATATCTTTCGTATTCCTTGATTCATGCTGTGATGTTGATCATCCCTTAGCTCCGCTCCGCCTACACAATAATGATGAGATTGAGACAATAGCAGCTGGCGTCTAGCCTGTACTCAACCATGTACTCGAAGATTCATCAACCTCGCCCGCCCGACAGTTTTAATATATCACTCATCAATTCAGAAGCATGACTAAGATAAAGAAGTATCTCTCACCCTAAACTACTTGAGTTAGCTATGTCCGCTCCCAAAGAAGAGTATAAGCCTAGTTACTCTACCCCATCCGTGTAAGCTGGTTTACTAGTATCCTCCTTCCCTGAAGACAACGAGCGTAGATTTTAGGTGTAGTTTTAGAGTATGTGCCTCAGGAAACATCGTATGTTCCATAGAGTCCTTGTGAACTTCGTGATGACTTCTGGGATGGCTATTTACGATAGAAGGCGAAATTAATTCTGAAATTCGCACTCGCGACACTTCTGAACAAAACCATTTTCGATTCGGAAATAGATGTAATTTTCATTTTGCTCTCGTACAGGTTTAGAAAATCGAAAATCAGCTTCTGGTGAGGTGTCGCAAAAAACTCATTTCATTTTCGAGGAGTTTCACCCGCTTTGCGTGAAGTGGCGTAATACTCTGTGAAATTTGTGGAATATTTTTTTCGCTAGTGTTTTACGTATCACGGGTGAAACTCCAATCAGTGTGAATATTATATATATGATCGACAATAACATAACCCTTGCAAGAAATCATCGCCTT